TCATTTCCTCCTGGCTGACAATCAGATGAAAGGGGAACCAGGCAGCCCAGGCTGCCCCTCATCCCTCCCTGGAAGGCATCAATACCAAGCGGAAGCTGGGGCCCTCTGCCAGTTTCCCCTTGTGCAATCCTTCTTCCTGCTCCTCTCCATGCAGAGGCAAGCCAGTCAACTGTGCCAAGAGGCCTCCAGCATGAGCCCAGCACCCACAGAGCTGGCCACAGGCTGGTTTTCCTGAGGGAAGGCTGGGCAGCTGAAGCCTGGACCAGAGAACACTAAATGTTCCAAGCTGGGTTCTATCTGCAAAAAGGCGGAGCCTGGGCACTTGGGCTTGTCCCTGCCCTGCCCTGAGTATACGTTTCTCTATACTCTGGACCCACTGAGGCTTCCTGTAGAAGCTTGCAGGGAGACCCTCCCCTTCTCAACCACCAAGCTTTTCTCTTTCTTTTTTTAAATTAACCTTTTTATTTATTGGAGCAGGATGTCACTATGTAACCTTACTTGTCCTGAACCTTGCTATGTAGCGCTGGCTGGCCTCAAACTCAGAGATCCTCCTGAGTGCTGGGATGAAAGGCATGAGTCCGCTGGGTGATAGTGGCGCACGCCTTTAATCCCAGCACTTGGGAGGCAGAGGCAGGTGGATCTCTGCGAGTTCGAGGCCAGTCTGGTCTACAGAGTGAGTTCCAGACAGTCAGAGAAACTCTGTCTTGAAAAGAAAAAAGAAAAAAAAAAACAAGCAAAAAAAGGCATGAACCACCACACACCCAGCCAGCCACAAAGATTTTGGCTATGACGAGAAGGTGGCAGGTTCCCCCAGACACTGAATGAGAAATGCAAGGGCTAGGATGTTTAGGACTCTGAGAGCTGGCTGCTGGTGGCCTGCGTGAGAGCCCAGGACCAGGACCTTATGTCAATATGGGGTTTATCCAACTCAGCCCAGGCAAGCAAAGCAGAGCTCACAGCGGGCCCTCTTGCTGCAGGTGTCTGTACACTGACACTTCAACAGACCACTCGGGGTCTGTGACTCGAGACATCCCACAGCTCTGTGTACAAGATGGCCTTTCCCTCTGAAAGAGCTAGCACCATGACCCACTGTGTGCCCAATTGTATGTGAAGATGTGTGGCGTCAAGGGACCCGAGCCCTCACCAGCCCTGTGTTCACAGAACTCAGCTCAGCCAAAAGGCAGACACAAACATGTCAACAGCCAACAACAAATAACTACAAATTGGGCTAAGTGGGCAGAGGACGGGAAAGCTCAATTAGCCTTGTGGCCTCCTCCAGCCCTTGAGGCCTGCCCTCATTACACAGCCAGGCATGCCCGCCCTCCCTGGAGTTCCCTGGCTGACAGCCTGGCAGAGCAGGAGGGGTTGACAACTGGCTAAGGAGCCCTTATTGAACCAAACTGGAGAAAAATAATTAAAAAACAAAAACAATGATCATTCGGTGTAGTAGTCTAATTTTATGAATCTAGAGACCAAGCATTTGATAAACCACGCAGCTGCTAAGTGGTAGAGCCCCAGACCGGAGGTCAGATGTTCCAGCTCTGGGTCATGGTCCCATAGCATCCCCACAGCAGCCTGCCCTGCTACCCGACAGCCCATCCTGAACCAGGATATAGCCTCCAGGGATCTGTGGCGCCTGGCTCATCTCAGAGGCTCTTCCTCCATGAACGGTGTCTCTGTCAATGTGTGATGTCAATGCTTCACATCTGAGATGTCCTACGCGGAATGTGGCCCCGCTCCACTGTCCAGGTGTGGCCACGTAGGGTAGGACTGCCAACGGAGGAAAGCTGTGAAGAGCAGGAAATGCAGGGGACTGCACAGGGAGCCACCGAAGGTCCTGGGCCCAGTCATGAAATGCCTGCATTGCAGCGTCTGTGGGCTCCCAAGGACGTCATGGTTCCTCTGAGCTCCACAGCACCTACGACACTCCAGAAATACCAGCTCTTGTCACCATCCCACACAGACCTGCACCTCCCAGCTTGTGTATGAAGCACCTTTCCTCTCCTCTGCCCACACAGCTTCCTCTTCCTCCAGACCGCAGGTCCCTCCCGGAAGGTGGCCCAGAGCTCCGTGACTGGACTGGTGCCTTTGCCAAGAGCACATAGAGCTTGCCTGGCACCCAGGAGGGGCCTCGCCTCTCTGCCCTTTCTGCGCCCTACACCACTCCCAAAGCCACACTCTGCTCCTGCGACCCACTCTGGAATCCTCAAAAATGCTTGTCTCAGTCAGGTGCTCAGAGGCCAGAAGGCCTTGCTCCCACAGGCCCTGCCTCCCCTACATCCTCAGGTCAGCCCTGCTCCCAGGGAAGAGCCAGAGAAAGGGAATACACTGTGCAGGCAGTGCCGACTGTCACTAACAGCTGGGGAACACATTTGAAAGGAACCAACTTGAAGCCAGAACCTGAGCAGGCCTGTGGAGGCCTTCCCATCCTGCCTCCTGATTGGCCGTGACACACTTTCTCTCTCCTGATCCTCTCCTGCATCCTGAATACTGAATCCCATGGTGGCCAGTACTCCTGGCAATGTCTGCCCAGCAGGCAGTGAGAGGCTGCCAATCCTTGGACCAGCCTCGGGCCATTCTGGAGAGAGCAAGACAGAGAAAAGAGACTGAAACTATGACACAGAGGCAAATGCCATTCCTGTAAGACCATGCAGCCAGATGTCTCTCCTCCCTAACTGTGATTACAGGCCAAGGAAGGCCAGGGAGAGCCAGCATAGAAGAGAAGCATGTAAGAGAGAGGGAGACAGGCCGGAGGTCACAAGGGAGGGATAAAGGAGGGCCTAGAGGATGGAGGAGTCTGTCTCCAGAGTCCCAGAAGTTCACAAGATGTCCTCATATCCTTTCCAGCTGGACTCTTGCTGGACATCCTTGCCCAGACTCATACACTTCTGGAGAGCAGCCAGGAAGGACCCGGGCAGTCTCCAAGGAGACTGCATGTCCCCGTCTCCTGCCCTCACTCCCGCAGGCTTCCTGCTTCTGTGGGCTCTCAGTCTCTGGAACCCTGGCTCCTTGCAAGGGTGGGAGAGGGTCCTGTCTGAGTTCAGAAAAGGTAGGTAGATGCCCTCCCTGGCTGACAGGGAAAGCCTCTTCCACAGGTAGCCTGATCAGATGGGCCTCAGGATGCCCACCCTGAGGTGGAGAGGCAGGTAGAGCTGGAGGGGGATGGGGTCAGGAGAGGGACTTTCTCAGGGGAGGGCCAAGGAGGTAGGGTGGAGCAGAGTGCCAACTTTGTTTATTTTGGGCTTTTTGCTGCTATTCCTGTTTGGCAATCAGACTGTGACAGTCAGAGACACCCTACAGACAGTAGCCAAGGACAGTGTGGGGCTGAGAAGAGGCCACAGGTGGCCCCTGTGTCCCACCCCATAGCTATCATGCCCCCCATTCTTGTTAAGAGGCAAGAGCACCCCCCTGGAAAGCCCCAGAGACAAGTCCCTCAATGCCATCTGAGGACAATGGACTGCGGCCTGTCTGGGCTCAGAGATTTACCAAGAACCTACCAAAGTCAGAAAGAAGTGACAGGCTGAAGTGGGCCTTAAGAGGAAAGTGACCGACTGAGGCCAACAATAAGGAGACAAAACCGGCTTCAGTTTTTCCCCCTACCTACCCTTCCCCTGGCATCCAAAGTCACCAAGGACAGCCAGTACCCTGAGCCCAGGCACATCACCCCACCCTCTGTACTAAGATGGTGAGTTCAGCGTGTACCTTAAACGGAGGCTGTGTGAGGAATGAGAGAGCATTCAGGCCATACTGAGACCAGATGCCATCGACTGCCTCCTCAGAGCGCTAGGGGCCTACCAGGAAACATTTGACACCAGATCTGACCGCATGCCATCCAGATACCAGGCCAGGGAAAGATGAAGGGAGGTCAGGGCTGCTGAGTGCAGAACACAGCATTGTAGTTGCAGAAGCCGGGCAAACACTGTCCTGGGAACCCAGTCACATACCGCAGGTCCTGGAATCCACGGCCCCACTGCAGAGTTCTGTGTCCAAGTAAACCTGAAGTGTCCATATGAGTGGGAACCAGGCCTGGACCTGAGGCAGGGGCCCAAGGCAGGTTACGTGGTTCACCAAGCTTGCCCTCTGGAGACTTCGTCTGCCTCAGGTCTCCTCGGGGGCTGAGTCCCCTCGCTTTTTACAGTCACCCTCCTCTCTGTGCTCAAGGAGGCTGTGCCACTCCAGGAGGGTGGTGGTAAGAGGAGAGCATCCCTGGACATGGAGGAGCTGGACCTGGTCAAGCCCTGGGATGAGGGACTCTGTAACTCCTCAAAATTCCTCAGGCCCCTCGCTGACTTGTTTCTGCACCAGATGCCCCACAAAGAAGGTGTGTGAGTGGCCAGCAAGGAGAGAGTTGGGGGCGAAGGCAGGAGAAGGTTCTTGACACCCCCGAGGTAGAATGGCATCCAATAAGAAACCATCTCAGTCCCTCAGGGGACTCTGAACCCGGGCCAGCTACTTGAAGTAGATCTTCTATTCTAGACTTGTGACTAAAACTTTCAGCCCATTTCTCAGATAAGGGTAAAATCTGGCCACATAGATGAGGTTGTATCAGTAAGCCAAGGTGACTCTACAGTGTCCTGTTTCCAAAGACAAGAGCTCTGGGCTTGACCACAGGCTTCCTGCAGCCCTGAGTCAGTGGGGTGTGCACAGCCGACCCTCCATGAGGGAAGGAAGGGGACACTCTGAGGGATAGAAAATAAATAACAAAGGGGCTGTTTTCCAATGCCAACCTGGCACAGTGCCCAGGGCAGTCATCTTACCCTCAGAGCTCACGGCTACACTTGCCTCATCTTTTCCAGAAGTATGCAAGCCCAGATACGTCAGCCCTCAGGTATGCAGAGATCTGTGGCTGGCTACCTGCCTTTCTTTCCTGCTTCTTCCTGTGGAACTTTGCTTTCTTGGCACAGACCACCCTGCCTCACCCAGCCGGCCCAGCCTCAGGCCCCCTCCTCAGTCAGGGCCCGCTTATAGGGGACTGTGACAAGCCCCTTCAACGAGGCAGATCCCCTGTAGGGCAGACAGAAAGCTGTGGTACGGGGGAGGGGCAGGAACCCAATCATCTAACTAACAGGTTGGTCTGGCTTCGAAGAGCCCCACCCTCCTGCAGCTAATGAACACCATGCAGCAGGTGTTTGTGCCTCAGTCCCCAGCCGGCCCTGGCTGTGACAGGAGGCGACTGCCACCACTCCAAAGCTCCCTCGCTCACTGGTGAGCCCTCAGGCTCCCAGGCCCAGGGGGGCCACCATGGCCTACCGCTCCTGCGTCGTTGGCTTCAGCAGCCTCAGTGGCTGTGAGGTGACATCTGCGGGCAGACCCCAGCCTGGGACTTCAGGATGGGGCAGCTGTGGGCTCCCTGGGCCTGGCTTCAGCTCCCGAAGCCTCACAAGCTATAGGCCAGCTGGTATCATCCCCAAGGTGACTGTGAACTCCAGCCTGCTGGTGCCTCTGGACCTCAAGGTGGACCCAGCTGTCCAGCAGCAGAAGAACCAAGAGAAGGAGGAGATGAAGGTCCTCAATGACAAATTTGCCTCCCTGATTGGCAAGGTGAGCTGAGTGGGTTTGGGCACCAAAGCAGAAGAACCGCCAGGCCTTCCAGGTACCCTCGCTGGCAGTTCCCTGAGCATCGGTCATCACGCCCCACCCCTGCCCCTAGCCAATGGGGATGCAGCATGGTTAAACCAGCAGAGATGGGATAGGAAATCCTGGTACATCCAGGTGTCTGGAGCAAACTCCAGGATGGACTCTGAGGGGTATCTGGATAAGGACATGCCGCCTGGCTTGGGGAGAGGGGGTACTCCTGTAGTAGTCAAGGGAGTGTTTCTCATGGAAGTGTGGCCTGCTGGCCTCTTCCCAGGCAGGTGGATGGGAGATACTGCTAACATTGCCCTCCTGACCTGTCACTCAAACCTCTGGCCCTAAAGCCTCTCCCTCCAGGCTGCCTGCCCCGCTTGCCTTCCCCATTCATTCACAGAGCTGTTGTTGTTGCTAGCAGGTCCAGAGGGGTGTGTGGGGTCTGAAGGAGGCTGCCGTGGGGGAGGCCACATGAGTAAAGATTCAACTTTGACTTGTCAGGAGAAAGGAATGCAGGGAACTGTGTCACAGCCTGGCCAGCAGCCAACAGCTGGGCTATTTTGCACTCACCTAGGTGGAAGGGCCAGGCCCCCAGCAGCTTAGCCCCTACACCTCCTAGACTCACTGCAGCTAGCCTAGGGCTTCAGGAAGTCCTGTCAAGCTCCCAAACCTGTGCCCACTCAAGGACTCCGAGAAACCTCTTGTGAACAAGCCTCCCCGCCGGGCTTCCTCCTGTGCCCCAGCTGCAGGGACTATACCACATGCTGGCGTGTTAGGCACCACAGGGAACTCCACAGGCTTACCTCAGATTTCCTCAGCTGCAAAGAAAGACATTTTGTGACCATTGCACAGAGCTGCCTTCCTCACTTCCGAGGCAGCAGAGGTCCAGCCTCCCCCCCACCCCTTGCCAGTCCTCATCTGCCTCTTGGTTTCTGACTCTGCACACCTTAGAGTCCCAAGAGGTAGGAATACACACAGAGGTAAGAGAGAAAAGAGTTATCACGTGTGGCCCAGATGCCTGAACCCCACAGGAATTTAGCTAGTAGGCTGAGATCAGCACCAGCATTACCACCACAGCTGTTGTTTTCCCAGCTGTGTAGATGAAGCAATAGGACCAGAGAGGCCAGGTGCCTTGCCCACGGTCACACAGTCAACAAGCAATAGAGTTTAGATTTGATCTGAATTTGAGGTAGGAAAGGTGTCTTCCTCTCCCTGATGCATCTGACTACTTCAGAGTCTCCTCCTTGACACCTCAGGTGTCCAGAATGGGAGAGGGGCTATGCTGCCCTTCCCACAGCCTGCCTGCATAGAGGGAACCCATAGCCTGGGAGGTAGGCACTGCAGAGTCACCTCCTTGTCAAGCCTCGCTAATCCCTTAAAAGGAGTGCTTCGCTGAACTATGTAATTTGGCTTCTATGGGTGGCTTTTCTCCTTCGAACCATGCCAATGCTGATGTCACCCTGTGCCACTGCTGTGGGCCCCGGGTGGGAGCCATGGGTGTGGATCCAGGGAAGGAGTCCTCACAGTTGGGGTCCTGGGTCCAGGCCTTTGAAGTTCTTTAGCAGATCTGGGATCTGGAGCCTCCCAACCCTTCAGGTGGGGTGCATTTCACTGTAGGGTGCAGAGAACTGTGAGTTCCAGCCCTTTGGGGACCCTGGTTATTGGAGCCCTGTGCTAAGCAAAGGCTGTAGGGGTCCCAGAGAGATGAGCTGACACTTAAGGAAACATTAGTTCTGAGGAACCCTATTTCTGAGTTTAAATCCTGTACCCACCATCAGCCTGCTGTATAAACTTGGGAAAATAGCTGAACCTCTCTGGGACTCAGGGCACAACAGTATAATGAGCTTGTCAATCAAACAGGATGATTTCTGAGAAGTAGCTAGAACAATCTAGTAGATAGTACAAGCTTTCTGATCCTTTGCTAAGAAGTGTAGTAAATAATCCTGGTGCAGGAATCTCCCAGAACTAACCATCCTCTTCCAATAACACACACCCCAAGCCTGGAGAGCAGGGGGCTCTTGCAGAGCAGGGGTACAGCCCCCTTGTAGGGAGAGGTGCAGCCAGGCTTCAGAGAGAAGTGCCAGCAGGGGAGGTACAGGAGCCCAGAGCAGGGCTGAGGTTCTTTGGGAGAGAAGAGGGAGGAACACCCCACTCACCTCCCCCTTCAGGACCCACCGCCGCCCTTCAAAAACTGTGTGTGTAGAAGGGAAGGTCCCTCTAGAGGCTGGTGGAGAGGCCCTACTGCTGCCATGGTGTTTCCTTCATCTATGGTCTGTGTTTCCTTTCGAAAGTTGCCTCAGATTCCAGGCTCTGCTACAGTCAGCCTGTGTTCCTGCCAGTGGGAAGATTGAAGGGAGGGTTAACAGGGTAGGGGGATGGGGTCCCATCCACTGGGGGCTGCTGTAGAGGATCTCCAACGTGCAGACAGCCTAGGCAACGGTGCTGAGGAAGGACTACCAAAGCCAAGGGCCTAGGTGACACCTAGAGACGGGGCAGGCCATGCCAGCCCCAAAGGTCTCAGACATGCCTGCCCTGACAGCATCAGACACAGGCCAGTTTCCTGTGTGTCTCTGGAACTTGACATTCTCCCAGCGTATCAGGGATCCTTGTCAGTGTTTCCCTGCAGACTCAGTGGCTGGGCTCCTTCCAAGGTATGTCCCAGCTCCAGCCAAAACTCTAAAGACTGCTTGATGTCCCCATGAAACACATCTCACATCATAAGCCCTGGCCAGCCGGGCCCAGCTCCATTTAGCTTCCAGCATCAGTTTCCTCCACTGTAGAGTAAGAAAGCAGACAGACCAGGAACTTGCTCTGGGAGGGAGCCCCTTGCCACGCTGCCATTGTGACCCATAGGGCAAGCGGGGGGTACAGGCTAGAGACGGCACAGCCTTCTGGGGACAGCTGGGATCGCTGACCCTCCCTAGTCCTTTGTTCCCACAGGGAGGAGCCCAGCAGAAAGACCATAGCTAAAGATGAGTTTTCATCCCCACCCACTGAGACAAGAGACTCCTCAAGGCCAGTGGGAGACAGAGGTTGTCCTTGGTACCCTGAGAGCACAATGTCCTCCAACTGTGCCGGCTGGCCCAATTCACAGCATTCCCCACAGAAGAATGCTGAAGCGTTGGGGACTGATGTTAGACTAAGGGAAGAACTTCCTGGTAGGAAGGTTTTTCTGTTTTGCTCATGGGTGGAGGTAGGAGCCTTATGTCTCTCCTCTCGCCGCACCCTCAGTGTAAACATGGACTCCTGCTAGTCAAAACGGAGGGAAGGTGGGGTGAGCTAATACTCCCCCACACACGCTCCCTCACTCACACACAAAGCCAGGCAGAACCCTCCTGACCTCCAGTCCCACGGAACCTGTTTCTGCACAGGTTTAAGGCATCGTCACACAGAACTTCCCAGTGAGATGGGCGTGAGGCAGGGGAATGACTGCTCACCAGCGTCACACTCCATCCCTCTACCCAGTGCTCCTGCTCCCCTCCCTACCAGTAACAAAGGTGCCAAATGTTTGCTGCAGCCCTTTCAGGCTGTGGCCCTGGGAGTAAGGCCAGTACCCTCAGCACACCACCATCCGGTTAGCGCCGCATCCTCATGGCTAGAACGGCTTCCTGCTGCAGCCACTCAGGGCCCCCAGGCTGACAGGGAGGGAACATGAGGAGCTGGGATGAGAGATGGGGGCATCCTTGGGGGGGGGATGGGACTGGGAGCATGTGTGCCATGGAGGAAGGCACCACCCCCCCCACACACATTCCCAGAGGACAGGCAAGGTGTGAACAAAGCCAGGATGTCTTGATCTCGCTGGGATACACTCCGGTTGAAACTGAGGTTACAACAGAACTAAGCAGCTTTCTGGGGGCCTAGCTGTGGTCCAGAGGTTGTTGGTGTCTCTGTAAGAGTCCAACACAGGGTGGGGGTCAGAGCTTAGGGAAAACCCCAGAGTTCAGGGACCTCCCTGTCCCCATCGTCAAGGCCACCCTGACCCTGCCTGGAAGAACAGCCAACCTCAGAAGGGCCCTGAGCTCCAGGGTGGCAATGCCCCTGCCCACAGCAGACACATTACAGTGGTCTCATGATCTCCGTGCAGGTCTGGGGACACAGCTCAGTGGGCAGAGGGCTTGCCTATCGTGCATAAAGGCCCAGGTTAGATCCCTAGCACCACCTAAACCAGGAGCTGTAGTGTCAGCACTTGAAAGGTGGAGGTAGGAGAATCAGAAACCAAGGTCATCTTCAGCTATAGAGTGAGCTCAAAGCCAGCCTATAATACGCGAGACCTACGTGTCCCAAAACAAACAAACAAATGAAAACCCAGGTGCTAGGCCTGGCTCTGCTGCCTGGTGATTTTGTGACCTCCGGCAATTCGTACAGCTCTGTGGGCTGGGTGCCCCTCTCTTGAAACTAGGCTGATAGCAGTACTCACTCCATAGGGCGTTGCCTCAAAGGAGTTGAAACGAAAGCACTTGGAACCAGGCTGGTGCACAGTTGGCACCTCATCCACATTGGCAATTACCACTCTCCCAAGCTCATTCTCATGTTCTGACCCCCACCCCCCCACACACGCACACAGCAGGCAGTGTTAGCGACCTCAACTTCCAGCTGGGGAAACTGAGGCTCAAAGAATCTTCAAGTCTGGGCCGGTCGGGAGGGCTAGCACTAAAGTACCAAGTAAGCCCACCTTGCTGGGTTTCAAGGATAGATGAGACCAGGCTTGCCATGGAGGAGAGGCAGGAGGACCCTGATACCTCCCAAGCCCCTATTTCTGGGCTCTCCCAGACCTGACCTGTGACAGGCAGGCGGTCCGCACCCCTAGCCCCATCCCTCACTGCAGGCCCAGCCCAGGCTAGAAGCCTTCTTGGCCCCACCTCCATGCTGTCTTATCTCAGCATCTTCCACTCAACAGCCAAGAGCTGGAGGTGGCTTCGCATACTGAGTGGAGTCAGTGCCGGGGATGAGCTGCCCTGTCACGGGAAGTCCCACCTTGGGGCCCCCTAGCCTGCCCAGGGAACCCAATGTGGCGCCTGACGACCTACTCAGCGCCCTCCTGCTCTTGCAGGTACAAGCTCTGGAACAACGCAACCAGCTGTTGGAGACCCGCTGGAGCTTCCTACAAGGTCAGGGAACAGCAACCTTCGACCTCAGCCACCACTACGAGACATTCCAGGGCAGTCTGCAGGAGGAGCTGCGCAAGGTGAGCCAGGAGCGAGGACAGCTGGAGGCCAACCTGCTGCAGGTGCTAGAGAAAGTAGAGGAGTTTCGCATCAGGTAGGTCTCACGCACTGGGAACAGGGGGGGGGGGGACTAGGCTGGACTCGGGAATGCTCCCCAGCTGGAGAAAGGAAAGATGGAACGGGGAACGTGGGTCTTCTCCAGATACAATTCGTGAAGCTAGCACACGTGCCGTTGTCAATACTGCAGGCATGGAGATCAGCCTAGGGCAGAGACCCTCAGGATCTACCAAGATTTAGTTGCAGTGGCTTACAGCTAAGCCCTTGGGTGCTTGCACAACACAGGCCTGGCTCCAGCAGCCCCTCCTGAGCCTGCGAACATGCCGGCTCCTGTGCGCTGCCCTGGGACAGGATGTCTTGCCTCTAGCAAAACTGCAGAAGGGCCACGCTCTACAGTGTGCTCTGGGTGTTGATCTTGGTCTCCGGAAAGGAGGGAGAAGCACAGCAGTGCAGGCAGGGGACAGGCAGGGCTCATCTTCATCAATCCCCGTCTAAGGGGTGCTGTGGGCATAGAGGTAGCTGGGGGACCAGAAAGATGAGGAAAATATAGCCCCTGCCCGCACGATGGGACAGACGGATAAATGGCAAGCACCACCCAGTAGTCACAAGCACAGCCTAGGTACTGAAGTAGGAAATATTCATCCTCACCCTATGTCCTAGGCTTGTGACTTCAGGAAAACATAGGCTACTGACTGGCCTCTCTTTCCTCCTGAATAAATGGACATGGTGATTGGCACTAACCTCAGTCGCCAAGAGGGAAAAATTCAGAGTTTACGTTGGCACCTGGCAGTGACTTTCCTGTCCCCTAGAAGGTTGAAGTTGCCCAGCGTAGGCTGAACTGCTCTGGCTAGCCTAGGAAGGCAGAATGAGCACTTGGGAGGCTCAGAGTTGAGGTGTCCACTCTGTAGGCAAGCCTTTTAGGACGAAGAGGCTGAGGCTGAGCAGATAGCTTATATCCCTGAGTCCCCTCCTCACCCAGGATGGGACAAGGGGTAGGGAACCAAGCATGGCTGATCCTGGCCCTGCAGTGTGGCCCACACCCTGCCAATCAGAGGTAGAACCAGCTATTCTAGAAGCATCCAGACAGAGTAGAAGGTAGGACAGCTTGCCTGGGAACCCTAAGCTGGGGCTCACCTTGGAGGCCCCCTCCCCTCTAGAGCCCTGCCCTCTTAAGTCCTAGGACACCCACGTGAGCATCCAGTCACTTGGAACTGCCCAACACCTGTTCACCAGAAGCAGCAGCCCATTTCTTTGGTCCTTAATAGGACTGGGAGCCTCAGAGGAGGCACAAGGCAAGGCCCACTAAACAAAACTGCCACCCTCAGTGGCCACGGCAGAGCAGCATGGCATCCCCGGGAACCCACAGCTGAGTCCCTTTCAGGCACCGCTGATTGCTGTCACCTAGCCACTGACCCGCCTACTTCCTGTCTGTGTCAGGCTGCTCTCTCTTCTCAGGTGGGGTCTCACAGAGGGGCTTCAGAAGTGTTTGGTTTGCAGGCCAGAGCTGAAACTGGTGATGTGGGGTGGAGACCTGACAGGGAGAGGCTGAGCCTTGCCTCTGCAGGGTGATGAGCTCAGTCTTGCTCCCAGACATAAACAAGGTCAGGGGTGGAGTGGGGGATGGCAGTCGTGACAGTCTAAAAATGGCCTGAGAACAGGTTCGGGAGTGGGTGGCTGGCAGGCTGGTGGCAGATTGGAGGTGGGACAGGAGACAGGCATCACCTGAACCTTGCAGTGGGGATGGAGACTTCCAGAAACCTTAAGGCCCTGCTAGCCTATCTTCCTAGTTACTAAGAACAGAGCAGAGGCCCAGTGAGGGGAAGCAACAGGCCCAAGTTCCCACAGCAAGAGGCTCAGGGCCGGCAGAGCCACACAAGTTGATTGGTGAACAGAGATTTGTGGTTGGGGTGTGACTAGGGGCTGAGTCTAGCTAAGCATCAGACAGCAGGCTGTACACCCCTTGAGAAAGGGATCCTTCCAACTCACCCGAGAGCTGAGAATGGACAGCAGGAGATTCAGAAAGACTGGATACCTCCCCAGGCTGGAACCCAGTTCCAGGCCTCACACCTCTCACTGGACCATTAGCCTGGAGCTCAGGCATCAGCCCACCCGAAGCCACCTCTAGCAGGATAACTAGGCAGGCTCCCTCAAACTCTGGCTCTCCTGGTATCCTTCCCTACTGGGGGGCCATATGGGCTCCCCTCAAAGTCCTGGCATATGTGTCCCCCAGATTCCCAGTGGGTCTCTACTTGGTGGGTCTGCCCCTCATCCCCATGAAGACATCTTTCAGGAGGGTAGACAGCTCTGCAGGGCTCAGCCAGGCTCCTTATAAGCCTTAAGCAATTAAGAACTACCGGGGGCCAGGCAGTGGTGGTGCACACCTTTAATCCCATCACTCGGGAGGCAGAGGCAGGCAGATCTATGTGAATAATTCGGGACTGGCCTGGTCTTCAAGAGCTAGTTCCAGGTCAGCCCCCAAAGCCACAGAGAAACCCTGTCTCAAAAAACAAAACACAAAAAACAAACAAACAAAAACAGAACTCGTGGGATAGTGACAGAGACAGGAGACAGGATGATGTGGTCGTGCACAGGGGAGGCAGACAAGGAGACTGCCCAGAGATGAGAAGGGCACAAGGACTGCGCAGGGAGGGACCTGACACCCAGGGCTCCCACCAGACGCCTTCCCAAGGTTGGCGGGTTCTGCTACCCAGAGGAAAGTCAGACGCTGCTGACCAGCCACCTGTATTTAGGTAGCTGTAGGATGAGGGTCACCCTGGCTTCAGCCAAGACAAGGCTCTTCACTGGGGCTCTGAGAGTCCAATAGGAAACATGCCTGAGTCAGGCGACCTTGAAGGCTGGTAACAAAGCTCAGAGGGTCAGTCCCACTCGCCATAGGGCTTTCAGAGGCTTTATGTGGGAGGCCATGGCAGAGGTTCAAATGGTCACGAGTGTCAGACCTGCAGCAAACACTTGCAGCCCTCGTGACATTTCCATGGTCATGGCCAAAGAACACACACATGTAAGTGAGGTAACCAAGTCATGCAGCTACTCAGCAAGGGAGCTAGCATTTGAACTCCCTGCTCAGCCGGCACTCCTTAGAGGCCTCAGCACCTTTCACTGTTACATAGGACCCCAAGGTCCTCCCCAGCTGGAAGCTCTGAAGGTCACAGGAGAGGGTGTTAGGAGGCACAGGGGAAGGGAGACCATGGTACCTGTTGCACACACGTAAACATGTACACCCTGTAATCAGGACTCCTGAAGCATTTTTTTCTCCCTGATGCATGCCCCCTGTCCAGCACCCTGCCCAGAGACCCTCACAGATTCCTGGAACACAAGATAGCCCAAAAGCAGCCCATACCCAAGATGCCCTGTGAATACTGTCATTCCTAGGTCAGCTCCCCTCCAGAAAACATGTGGGTCCAGTTCGTTGACAGGGTCACTGTGACACTGGCCCTGCCTCGAGGTCAGGGACTGGGGCAGGCAGGTGCCTGTAATTAAGAGTCCTGAGTCAGGCGTTCCTGGAGAGGAGAGAAGACATTAACCCACTTCCATGTCCATCCACTTGGGCTGTCCTTGAGGGCTGGTGTAGGACACCTGAGGCTGGCAGATGCCATCCACGCTATGAAAGACCAGTGTCTTAACTAGGAGAGGATATGGTGAGGGACCAAAGGATCCTGCCCCCACCCAGCAGAGTCCTTTCTGCAAACCCAAGGCGAGCCTGACTCAAGAGAAAAGCAACATGAAAGAACGTTTTGGAGTGTGCCATAGACAGGCCATGAATTACTGTCATAACAGGGCAGGCTCCATCGGCCCCCACACAGCCTTCCACACGGGAAGCAAGGGAGGCTGGGAGAAGTGTGCACTGGAGACCTCTCTCCTGCCTCCTTTGGAGGTCACAGAATAAGATGGCATCCCACTCTCTGGTCACCAGCCGCAGGACAGAGTGAACCTGGGAAGAGGGGAGTGATCGGGGTGCTGAGAGAGGACAGAACACAGACGTGGCCCAGCTGGGCCTGTGATTCTGGGTGTCAGGAGGGAAAAGAAGCCACCACGAAAGGGGTGCACAGTCAGAGAGGCTTCCCAGAGGACTGTGCAGTAGAGCCAGGAAGTGGGGAGCCACTTCTGGGAGTTACAGGGGAGGGAGGGCGTGTCTTAGAAGACCTGAGATTGTGTCCGCCAAAGAAAGAGCAAAGGTTTCTTGTTTGATTTGGTTTGGTTTTGTTGTTTTTTAAGACAGGGCCTTGCTAGGTAGTCCCTGAATGACCTAAAACATGCAGTCCAGGTTGGCTTCAAGTCTATAGAATATTTCCTGTCTCTGCCTCCCGAGTACTAGAATTACAGGTGTATGCCACCACATTCAGAATGGCCACTTCTCTAGGTGACATAGAGCATGGAGAGGTCTAACAGAGACCTGGGCCCTCACAGAACAACACTTAACCAAATCCCAAGCTCCACAACATTGCTGAAGAACGCCTCTCCCCACAGGTATGAGGATGAGATCTCCAAGCGCACAGACCTAGAATTCACCTTTGTCCAGCTGAAGAAGGTAACCGCCCAATGCCTAGGGCCCTCCATCATGGCCCTCTGCCCTTGTCTCCAGCTTTGTCCCACTTTACTTGATGCCTAAGCAAAGCTCTAGGGCACCTGGGCTGCAGGACCAGTAGACAGAGAGAAAGGTCGAGCCCAGGCCTGCCTCTTTATCCAGGCTCAAAGGCACATTTCCTCTGGCTAACATCTCCCTTCCCAGAAGCTACCCCATCCAACTCCTGCCCTGAACCCTAGCTTTTTCAGTCTCCATCTCTCACCTCCACTCCCAACTCCAGGACCTGGATGCCGAGTGTCTCCGACGAACTGAACTGGAAACCAAGCTAAAAGGCCTGCAGAGCTTCGTCGAGCTGATGAGAGCCGTCTATGAGCAGGTGAGAGAACAGGTCTTTTGTTTGTTTATTTGTTTTTTTGTTGTTGTTGTTTTTTCTGTTTTTTCGAGACAGGGTTTCTCTGTGGCTTTGGAGGCTGTCCAGGAACCAGCTCTTGTAGACCAGGCTGGCCTCGAACTCACAGAGATCCGACTGCCTCTGCCTCCCAAGTGCTGGGATTACAGGCATGCGCCACCAACGCCTGGCTGAGAGAACAGGTCTTTATGGAGCCAAGTGCTCACTGCCTCTGGGGCAAGGAATACAAAGGGAGGTAATGGAATGTTTAACAGTCACTATTTCCAGCCAATGACGTCACTGAAACTTCTCAAGTGCCCTCCTCTCTGGGCGTCAATGGTCCTTACATTTCCCTTTGCCCCACATTCCCTGACACAGGGGCAAGGTCCCCAGATTCACTCTGTTTGAGAGAGCCATCTTCGTGTGTGCTAGAGTGCTGGCAAACGGGACCAAATGCATTGGCAAGGATCAGTGCCACCGGCCTTGAGTGCACACCCCACTTGCACTGAGCACCTTTAGGCCCTGTGGTCCACTCCACAGCACTGCTCCTAGCTCTCATGGGCATGCGCTTCACCCTCTCCCTCTCTTGGCTGAGACAAGGAAGACTCAGGATGGGCTTCAGCACAATTTAAAACGATATGGCAAATGCAGAGAGGAGCTTCCAGAACATACCCCCATCTATCTCCTAGGTCCTCTGCTGAGTCTGGGGAACAGTTATCCAGCAAGGGCCTGGCCTGGGTATCCTACCGTGGACTGGCTCTCTCCCTCTCTCCCTCTCTCCCTCTCTCCCTCTCTCTCTCTGTCTCTGTCTCTGTCTCTGTCTCTGTCTCTCTCTCTCTCTCCTTCCCTCTCTCTCTCCATATCACCTATCTCAGAAGTGAGGGATAGAATCTACCAAGGACTAGAGAACCATTGCTAGGATTGAGGGGTCCCAAAGCCTATATGCTACCAACAACTGGTACCAAGCCACAGCAATGAAGCCAAGGTTGGCACAGAGCCAGTCACTGCCACAGGGCAAACAGATTTCTGCAATGGGCCCCACAGATGTCTGAGCGCAGCTTCCCAGCCTGGCAGGGGAGATCGGGCCTCTCTTCCTGCAGGCTCAGCATCCCAGGACCCCTATGGGACTGATAGCCATTTGTGGCTATGGGATGGAGCCTAGCAGAGAGAAGCCCTGCCCTCAGGAGCAATCAGAAGGCAGACCCACAGCTGACCACACCAGCAGCACTGAAAAGCACCCTTCCTAGCTCCATAACGAGGCCATACCCTTTGGGCTGCCCAAGGCTCCATGCTTACAGATTGCTTACTCTGCCCAAGTTCCCTCTGGCTTGGTGTGAGCCAGGCAGGCATCAGGGGCCAGTGCTTCAGAATCTGTGCTCACCAATGCCTGGCAAACTCAGAGCTCTAAGCCAATGTGGAGGCCCTGGCGCTGAGGCCTAGGCAGAAGGAGGCTGGCCATTACCAACAGACCCAAGCATTGCCAGAGATAGGTCCTAGAGACTTTTTGAACCTTTCCCAGGAGCCATGCCCGTGAACTCCATTCAGATGGAGCATTCGCTCTTGGGCCCTGTTTTGACTCCTCCTTTTTATCATGTGCGTAAGGTTGTCCAAGCTGTCACCTCTCTGTGCCTCTTTTTCCACATCTCTAAGTTGAGGAGAATAACAGTAGCAGCCTGTGTGGATATGATGTGAACCAACCCATTCAAATGTCCATTGCGTCCCTACTAAGTGCCAGGTGTGTGTTGCCTCCTGAATGGGACAAGTGTCTCCTCTGAGGAGAGCACAACTCAGCCAATAAGTCAGCAAGTACCTCTAAACCAGGCCACAAGAGAGGGTGAGCAGCTCAGAGAGACAAAGACATCAGTGGTGTCATCAAGCTAAAGGGCAGAAGAGAGCATCAGAGCATGGCTGGGGATCTGAGGGGTGCAAGAAAGGTGAGTCCGAGAGAGAGAGAGAGAGAGAGAGAGAGAGAGAGAGAGAGAGAGAGAGAGAGGAGACAGAGAGAGAGAGAGAAGGAGGGAGGGAGGGAGGGGGAGGGAGAGGGAGGGAGGGAGAGAGGGAGGGAGGGAGAGAGAGAGAGAGGGAGAGAGGGAGGGAGAGGGAGAGAGAGAGAGAGAGAGAGAGAGAGAGAGAGAGGGAGGGAGGGAGAGAGAGAGTCTGGCCCTGTGGGAAGGCTGTATGATGCTCCACAGCAGGAGAGGAAATAGGGCAGGCTGGGAGCTAAGGGTTGGTGAGGATCGGTGACAGCACACACAGGGCCCTGGGCTCTGAGACAGATGTGCACAGGAGTCCCTTGACTTCTGTCTTAGTCACTGTTCTATTGCTATGAAGGGACACCATGACCAAGGAAACTCATAAGAGAAAGAATTTAACTAGGGGCTTGATTACAGTTTCAGAGGTTAGCTCGTTATCCTAATGGCAGGGAGCAGGGTAGCACATGGCACTAGAGAAGCAGCTGAGAGTTTTACGTCATAATCTTCAGGCAGAGAGAGAGAACCGGACCTGATAAGGACTTTTGAAACCTCAAAGCCCACCTCCAGTGACGCACTTCCTCCAACAGGGCCACACCTCCCAATCCTTCTCAAATAGTGCTACTCCCTGATGACTAAGCATTCAAATATATGAGCCTGTGAGGGCCATTCTCATTCACAGCACCACAGCACCCTTGGCCATCAGTCTCAAGACTCCTACAGATACCTAAATCATCTGATGCTCAGGACCTCACATAAAATGTCACATACATTGTTTGCATGTTTTAAAACAATAAGCTGGGCTGGGCTATAGCTTTTTGGTGGGGTGTTTCCCTAGCGTCAGGAGACTCTGGACTTGACCACTCCCACTGCCCTTCCCAAAAATGGAGATCAAATTATTTCAATAACTTATCTCCCTTAACCCTATATATCCAAAATATGAGTATTTTGCTTTGTAATCAGTATAAATATTAGTGAACTACTTTACTTTCCCTTTTCTTACTCAATGTTCAGAGTCAGGCATGGTAAGGCACACCTCTAATTCCCAACTCTCAGAAGAAGGAGGCAGAAAGAGCAAAGGTTCAAGACCCTCTTCTACACAGTGGGTTCCAGGCCAGAGAGAGCTGTCTCAAAAACAAAAGGAAACAAAATGCACACTCAGAAGGTTTAAAATCTGAAGCACATTTTACACTCACAATAGCTCATCTCGGGCAGATGAGGCACATCCCATGTGCTCCAAGGCCACGATAATGAGTGGCTCCCTTCCTGGACAGAGCAGGCATGAGCAAAGGGAAGTACAGGTCACACCTCTCTCTCATGACAGGAGAACACAGTGGATTGTGGATAGCCCACAGAGGGCTGGACACTCGAGTTTCAACTTTGGGTCTGATCAGAAAAGCCTGGAGGTATAGATCTATATCCTATTGATGTCCCAGTAAAAAGGGAGTCCCCTCCCCCTCTCCAGCAGCAAGGAACACATAGCTAGATACCTACAAGGCCCTTCCCAGATGGCTGGATGGTTCCCACTGACTAGATCTACAGTATGCATAGAGCATGCATACATCCAGCCTGAACACTGCCTGCCACACCCAGAAGCCATGGGCAGAGTGCTCATGAAAACTCTGTGGATTTGGGTAACAATCAATGAGTACAGATTTTAGAGCGCCCAGATTTAGCATCTAGCTCAGTAACTAGGGGAACCAGAGCAGGTTGCTTCAGTCTTCCCGTCTATAAAATATAAAGAAGAATACTGCCCTGTGCTGGCCTCTGAGTGTGTGTGTGTGTGTGTGTATACACACCCACGTGGGTATATGACTGTAGAGGTCAGATGATAACCTCTGGGAGAAACCTCACTTTTCACCTTGTTGAGCCACACCCGCTACTTTGTTGTTCAAATGCTCACTTGTGTGGTGAGGTGATGGTCTAGCTGGCCCTTCATCGTCCAGCGACAATTTTGTCTCTGTCTCCCATCTCCCATCCCTTAGAAGCAGGAGGACTCTGTCCAGCTTTACACGAGTTCTGGGGATTTGAACTCAGGTCCCCATGCTTGCCTAGCAAGTGCTTTGCTTACTTAGCCACTTCCCCAGCCAAAAATTATTTCTTTTTTTCTTTTTTTTTTTCTTTTTTTTTTTTTTTTTTTTTTTTTTTGGTTTTTTGAGACAGGGTTTCTCTGTGGCTTTGGAGGCTGTCCTGGAACTAGCTCTTGTAGACCAGGCTGGTCTCGAACTCACAGAGATCCGCCTGCCTCTGCCTCCCAAGTGCTGGGATTAAAGGCGTGCGCCACCAATGCCCGGCTCAGAAATTATTTCTTAATAGATCTTAAACCACTTAGGATAATGTCTGCCATGGAGCAAACATTTAAAAAGCGTTAACTGTTCTTAGTTCTGACCTGGTACCCACTTTACAGATGGCGGCTCAGATGGGTTTTAAAACTTTATCAGAGTTATCTAATGAATCCGAAGTGGTGGCATTCAGAATACAGTGACTTCGAGAGCAGTTTTATCAAGCAACACTCACCGCCCCCATGGGGAATACTGTGAGATAGATAGATATGCAGTAGCAGTCTCCTCCAACTCCAGCTCCCTAGGGAAACTCTAAACTGTGTTATGCTGCAATTCATGCCAACTTGGGGTGTCAGGGGCCCACCCCAAGGTGGCACCTCACCACACAAGTGAGCATTGTTATACCCTCGTTCCCGGAGGGGCCAGCGTGTCTGGACAGGCACGCAGCTGCTCTGAACACCACTTCCTGCTTCTGTTTATCTCACTCCTGCCTCGCCCGCTTTTTCCCAGCAAGGGTCTGAGGTGGTGCGGCCATGTTGGCTATCCCCTGGCCCCCAAAGGGTAAACCTGTCCTTTGTGGCATCTTTGGGCCATATCTCTAGACTTTTCTGGGCCAGATGCCAAGTCAGACCTGGGCTGGACGACATGGGGCTCAATCACAGATCCTTATTCACTAATTTCCACAGCCTGCCCAGAAGGGGATCCCCAGAACCACATCTCTAAACTGTCCTAGCAGGTGCCCAGTGTGCAGTGTTGGTGTGTCTGTGGTGACCACTGGCCTGATTCCAGTCAGGGGTCCAGGCTGCCTTTGCCCTAAAGATCAATCAAAGATACCCACAGCTACTGGTCCCTGAGTTTGGTCCTGCCAGCTCGAGAGGGCCTCCGGAATGCTTGCAGCACCCAAGGCTCCTTTTCTAAGCAGTGCTAGTGGGCGAGGCTGCAGACAAGCAAATGAGCAAGGCTCCCGCCACCGTCCATAAGGTCCATCTGACCCACCTTGGCTCTGAATCTTTGTGCCAGAATATAAGCAACCAGAAAGAAGTGCCAGCCCCCCCCACCACAACCTCTCTAGACATAAAGATGAATGGGGAGGAGTGTCCCAAAACTGACAAACCAAGGTCAGGGTGAGTGGCCCATGAGTAAACCAGCTAGCTGATCTAGGACCTAAGCAAGCTTCTAGATCCAAGTGCCAGCTCACGGAAGCCAGGGACAAACTGAAGGGCGTGTTGCACATCAGCACAGGATAAAATTCAGACCCTGAGGGGGCTATGCATTTTCAATAAGAAAAGCTGTAAAGAAAAAAACTGGAGTGGACAACTGAAGACTTCTAGTGATACGCACCACACACCAGTTTCCATCCCCTCATCCTGTTTGGATTCTGACTCTAGAGTTTCAAAAGGGAATGAGGCTGTCAGCAGCCGGAAACACGGGTAGGAGAGTGGTGACTGAAACAGAGACAGGGGTCTGCAAAATGCCAGAAGAGACGATGGTCCAGGCCCTACAGCCACAGAGTGAGCCACCGCCACCTCTGCCTGGCTCCCTGCCTGCCCCTCTGTGGCACGCTGACTCACTCTCTCTGAGGAGTGCTGGCAGCCACACTCACAGTCTGTTCCTCCTCCCATCCAAGGCCCCACAAAGCCTGGCTCATTGTTTAGCACCTCCAGAGGAAGCAGCCCAGGCTTGTGGCAACATTTTGCAGCCCCTGAGAGACCCCTGTTACCACTTGTCTCTCTATTTAGCCCTAAGCCTTCCCACGGGAAAGTCAGCGAGGACAGTAGAGAGTCAGCCTGGTGCTACAAAGACAGCTTTGTCCTTGGTGCTCCAAGGGTGACACCGAGCACAGTTAGGTAGACCCCTGCTCCGCCTGTGGTTGCCTCTGCCACTCCCCCCCCCTTGATCAGGGAAGGATAAACTATGAGGACAACCACTGTGACAACCACACCATGTTCCACTGTCAGGCCCGAAGTGCAAGGGAGGGATTGACTACTTCCAGTGGGTGCTGGGGACAGATGACTCTGTTAGCAGAGTTGCATCTGGGTCCAAAGATTTTCGAACCCATTTTCCCAAGGATTCGCCAGCCTCTAGCCCCACCCTGGCTAGCATCATTCTCCATTCTCTCTGGTCCAACATCTATTCAGTAAACGTGGATGTCCCATCAACAGATGTTGGGGCCCACAGCTCAAGGTGACCCTGCCAGGCCCTTGGGGCTCTCTATCCAATGGGGAAGCAGAGGGAAAGATACCATGGAGGGGCCTGTCCCCCAATCCACCTCAACACCAGCCAGGAGGAGGGGTTCTAGCCTGGGTATGAAAGCCAGAGCCAGCCCTGTCAGAGAGGGCAGTAAGCGCCACCTAACTTCCTGGGAAGTCGCAGTTGGGAGCAGTCTCCACCTCCTGAGGGGACAAAGGGACTGTGGGTGGCAGACAGACCTTGAGTCCTCCCCCACTAGTCCTGAGCCTCCTGCTTGTTGTGCTGCAGGAGTTGAAAGACCTTACCGCACAAGTGAAGGATGTGTCGGTGACCGTGGGCCTGGACAGCCGCTGCCACATTGACCTGAGTGGCATTGTGGAGGAGGTGAAGGCCCAGTATGATGCCATTGCTGCTCGAAGCCTGGAGGAGGCTGAGGCCTATTCACGGAGCCAGGTTAGGAACTGACTATGTAGGGAGGGGCAGGACTAGAAAGGAGGAGCCTGAGGCCTTCTGGCTCTGGGAGTAGTGGGGAGCATATGCAGGGAGGTTTGCAGCAGTCATTCCATGGGCAGCATGGGAATTGTGAGAGCCAGACCCTGCAGGGCTCCAGGAACAGCAGAGTGGGGGGTGCTTTCCTGGGGGGTCACAGTGTTGCCATCATACCAGTCAGGTGTGGACATGCATGGCTTGCCCAGGGCAGCCAGGAGGAAGCCACCAGGGGAACATGTAGGCCTGCAGAGGGAGGTGAGAATGGGCAGTAGGGATGAGGCTGGGAGAGATGGTGGGGGTGCATCAGACCACACTTCACCATCCCCCTTCCACACCCCTGCAGCTGGAGGAGCGAGCTGCCCGCTCAGCAGAGTTCGGGAGCAGCCTCCAAAGCAGCCGCTGTGAGATCGCAGACCTCAACGTGCGCATCCAGAAACTGCGGTCTCAGATCCTCTCCATCAAGAGCCATGTGAGAAAGCACCTGAAGGGCCTATGGGGACTTGGGGGCTATGAGACACTCACACTCAGTCACACTGAATACTCACAAGACCTGGCCAAGTGACCCTGGGCAGGTAGGTCTATCGTGCCTCTGGCCTCAAAGTTGAGAGGAACGTGGCCTGCTATGCTGGCTGTGGGGATCGTGTGAATTCTTCACAGAAACACTCTCTGTAAAGTTCCCAGAGCAACTGTGACATCAGAAAGTCCCCACCATGCACGGCCAGGCCCTCACCCCTTGCCCAAGCCTAATCAATCATACAGCAAGGCAGGAATGAGGCCTAAGTCTCCGTTTCCAGTAGGGACTCCTTTTGGTGGCTTGTGGGACTTCTCTACTCCTCAGGACTAAGTGAGCTCCCTCTTAGTGCAATTACCGCACCTGGAAATGGTGCTTCTTAGTTACCCAGGCTCAGCCCGCCGCCTCTCCCAACCATGGTCTCCTTCCTCCTTCCTCCCTCCCTCTGGCCTCCCGGCTGCAGTGCCTGAAACTGGAGGAGAACATCAAGGTTGCTGAGGAGCAAGGGGAGCTGGCCTTCCAGGACGCCAAGGACAAGCTGGCCCAGCTGGAGGCGGCCCTGCAGAAGGCCAAGCAGGACATGGCCCGGCAGCTGCGCGAGTACCAGGATCTCATGAACACCAAGCTGGCTCTGGACATCGAGATCGCCACCTACCGCAAGCTGGTAGAAGGGGAAGAAAGCCGGTGAGAGGTGGGGCGAGGGCAGGGCTGACCGGCAGCCACCCGGCAGGTCGGCCGTCCTACCTGACCCAGTCACTAGTTCTGCATGGCCTGCATGGCAGCAGGAAAGTGGGATAACGATAAGCAGGCTCACCTGTGTAGGGAAGCCATGCGAGTCCGACCAGTGAGATGGCTCAGTGCCTCCCAACCTGAGCTCCGGTCCTGGAGCTCACACGGGGGAAGGAGTGAACCAAATCCCACAGGTTGTCCTCAGAGTTCCACACACGTGTAATGGCATGCGCACACACACACGCACACACTTTTTTAAAGGTTCAAGGTGGATATTCTGTTTTGTTTTTTAAGTGCCCAGTCCTGTTCTCTATGTATGCACAACAAAGAAGGGGCTGGGGCTCCCAGAACTGACCCTGGGGCAGGGGGAGTACAGGCGCCCTGGCTTATCTGAAGTCCAGGTTTGGGTCTCATATACCAGTCTTCTCCCCGCCCTCACCCCGGGGAGCCAAAAGCGGGAGGCCATGGGTCCTCCACTCCCTAAGCTCTAGGAACTCTAGAGACAAGACAGGGCTCTAGCTAGTCAGGGTCACACCACAGGCAACCACAGGCCTGGGAATGACCCTGACTTGGCAAACCTCAGCTCCAAACTCTAATGGGGTTAAAGTCACAGGTTCCCTTCACACTCTACCATGACTCCCCCCTCAGGATGGACCTGCCTTCTGCCACCATGGTCAGTGCTGTGCAATCCCGGTGCAGGACCAGTAAGTCCCTGGAGACCCAAAACAGGGATGCATGGGTGTGGGGGATCGTGGCCCTAAAGGCATCATGGACATGGCCTCCAGCCCCTTCCCTCCCACTCTGTGTCTTTGCAGCTGCCTCCAAGTCCGGCCTCTCCAAGACCTCCTCCCGGAAGAAAAAGAACCGCAGAGGTCCTGTAATCAAAATCACCGAAATGTCAGAGAAGTACCTCTCCCAGGAGTCAGAGGCCTCAGAGTAAGACAGCGACCCCAGGACACTTCCACTGTAGCCGGAGGGACTTAAACTAAACTTCAGTAGCCTGGAGCCTCCAGGTTCGAGGGGAGATGCTGATCTGAGAGAGATGGGTTCCAGCTGAGGCTTCGTTTCTCTCGATGGTCCGTGAAGACAAGAGAGCATCGCCAGCTCCATTCCGTCTCACTCGCCACTCCCAACCTCCTGGCCACAGGTCGTCCTGGCTGGTAAAGGGGAACTTGGGGCCAGTCACATCCTTGACTCTCTGAATCACCTCTTCCCACACAGCTCTGACAAGGTGCTTGACTTTTGCCCAGCGCTTGCCCTGACCTCCTGCCTCAGCCTTGCCTCACCGCTGCCTCAGATTCTAGGCTGCCATCCTTACTCACTAGCCAGGCCCCAGCCTTCGCTGAAGGACACACTGGATTTTATCCCGTGGGGGCTGAGGACCCCTGGCTCTCCTGCCCTTAGGCTCCCCAGTATTGGGGGACAAGGAAAGGAAAGGCCTGGTATGTTAGTCAGAAGCCTAAGTCTTAAAGAGGCCCAGATACCTGCACCCACTGTCTTCTAGGGACTAAAATGTCAACCATAACTAGGCTCCAAAGCGTCCCTGGCCATGGCCAGCACCCTAGGAGCAGACTCCAGAGATGACAACCCGACACCGGGCCTTGCCTTCACCTCCCAGTCATTCTGGATTGTGCCACCGTCCTGTAACCTGAGCTCTGCCTCCAGACCAGGTCTCTCCACCTCAATGCTTGCTTTTGGTACAGCAGGCCCTAGAGCCTACCCTGCCAGAAATGCCCATTTCTCCCAAATCCCACTTCCTAGAGCCTCTGTTCTATCCCCAGATAGCCAATGATCTAGGACATTCCACCCAGTGGGCCAACTCTCCCTAGTTTCCTTCTTCCTTCTGTTCCTCCCTTCTTCCAAGCTTACTCCCCCTGCCTCTGGTTGACTGTGAGGAAGGCTAAGCCTGGGGAGATCTGGAAGGTTCTTAGCCCTGAGTTGGCCCAGGAAGCCCCAACAAGAACTAAACCCATTCTGTTCTGGACTTGGCAGAGATCTTCTTACCCTTGGCTCTCAGCTCTGGGACTTTCAGGGCACAACAGTGCCAGACTCCTTCTCTCCTCCCTTCTTCCCCTCTCGCCCATGTCCTGAACCCCTCGCCTCCTCTCCTACCTGTCTTCCACCCCTTCATCTCATTCTCCAAAACAAGGTGTTCAGCAAGGTCCCTCGCCCTCCAAGCCTGCAGGGGGCACTGATGGGCTACCAGCTTTCCCAGGCCAAGGAACCCAGCAATATACTCAACCCTGAGTCCCCAACGCGGGTGTTCACTGCTGCTTTCTCTGGGGCTACTTATCAGTTTCCAAGGGAACAAACCTTCAGTGGGGACATGAAATATAGAAAGTATATATTATTTTTTCATAACTTATGTGGCTTTTAACTTATTGCTTCCCTTCCTGTTTCTGCATGATCAATGCTGTGTGTACTATCAGGACTTTAGAGAACTCACTCCAGCCACCAACTTGACTGGCTGACTCGGGCAAGGAGTAAATAAAGTATTAAGGTTCATCTATGAATAAAGTTACTGGGCATTGATTTTTGTTTGTTGGTTGCGTGGTTGCTTGGTTTTGTTTTATATGTGTTGGAAACAGGATCTTATGTAGCCCAGGCTGGCATCAAACTCATGTAGCCAAGGATGACCATGAATTCCTAATTCTTCTGCCTTGGTCTTCCAAAGAGCCATAATTACAGACATATGCCACCATGCCTTGCTTTAGTATCTAATTTCATCTCCCTTCTTGGGGTGGTTTGGTCACTAGTCATCCCAGGCTGACCTTGGGATGACTCTCTAGCTGTGGGGAAGTGTTCCATGCAGGTACCAAACTGTAACTTCAAACCAAAGGGGCTTAGACTCAAAAGGACCCCCACCCTTTCTTGCTACTGGGACACTTGTCTTATGACAAGTGGATCCATGTTCCCAGTACCTACATGTCCAGGTACCATGAAGGCTGCCTCAGCAGACACAAACAGGGGGATTTCCCAGCTGGTGGCAGGGTTCCTTCTTCAATACTTCTACCGACCATGGGGTGGCCCAACCCAGGGGACATTTGGATGGAGCTGGCCTAACCCTGCCAAGTCAAATTCCAGATCACCCAAGGGCCAGTGAAATGGCTCAGTGGGCAAACAGACTTGTCACCAAGCCTCATGACCTGAATTCTATCCCCAGAACCTACAGAGGAGAAGGAGAGAACCAACTCCTACAAACCGTCCTCTGTCCTCTTCACAAATGCTATGGTACACGCACACACACCAGATAAATAAGTAAATGTTCTAAATGACCCTCTCCAAGCCCTGTGCTAAGAATCACAGACTATTGTCCCCTCTCTCTTCTGTCAGAAACACACCAAGTCTCAGGGAAGATGACAACTTAAAATACCTAACCTAGACTTCTCTGCAAAGTACAGTAGTGGTTCTTTTGAGGATCACAGAAGGAACAAGAACTAGCCCCCTGTAGCACATCTGCTCCCTGGACCACAAGACCCTGGACAAACTGAATCTCAGTTTCCCTGTCAGTGACAGGGGTCACACAGCTTGCCCCATCACCTCACAGGTGTCTGGGATCTGATGACAGAGCTGTGGACACTCTCAGGAATGCTACATCATCTTCAGCTGCCACACTCTGCCCTGTGACAGCTCAGCAATGGGAAAGGTCATTAGTGACATTGCTATCATTGATAGGGAAGATATTACAGACGACTAAGCCTGAGGCTCAAAGTCCGGCAAGGAGACCTCATCCTGGCTTATGAGGGGCACAGCACAGTCAGGTCTCAACTCTGTCCCTCCCACTCAGGACCTTGACAGACAGGATCTGCTCTCAGGACACAGAACAGATGAGCAGTGAAGCCTCAAGTCCCAACCAGAGAACCCTAGGACTGATGGTGTCCTTTTTCTATTTTATCCACTTCTGAATACCCACTTGAATTTCCAAACATGAATAGGAATTTCATGTCCCAAGGTTCAGTGCTGTATTTCTTCTCCTTCTACTTTCTCTGGGTTATTTTTTATCAGCTTCCAGCTATGTGGATTGACTGCTTTAATTTTCATTTTAACTCTCTTTGATGATCATTCACTTCATAATAAATACCATTTCGACTGCTTCCTCATTCGTAGCATCTTTATTATCCTAAAGTTAAAACAATTCTATTATTTGACTAATTAGTTCTTTAGAAATCTATGACATACACCCAAGTCATTCATTTTATAAGCATTTTTTGAACACAAACATAGCTCGTGCCTGCATGTTAAACTCCCCAGCATTTATCTCTGTAACCACCACTCCTCAGACCTCGACTAAGCAGGCCACCTTGTACTCTTTGTCCCCAAATCACTCTAAGCTTCTAGAGGGCAGAAGTTGGGTTGCAGTCTGTTTCTAGGGCCTCAAACCTTAACCAGCATAGCTCTTACAGCAAGCCACCACAAGTCATCCTTCCCACAGTTGGACACTATGACCAAACCAGCAGAAAGTTTGATAAGGACAAGGATGGACACCTAACGTCCCCAAAGTCTGGATTGTTAGTGCCTTGTGCAGTCTAAGCTTGTAGTCACCTCTATAGATTTAAATGTTAGGCAGTGCTCAAAGACAGGTGTGCCCCCCCATTCTGTTGTGGCCTTAGGACCACATAAAATGGGAGGTTGGTAGGCGAAGGTGTCATGGGTTGGAGTGACTTCAGGAAAATGCAGCTGTCCATAGTCATCCACTGATCCAGAAGTAACCCTTGATAAATTCATGTTATTCCAAAATGAACTTGAAAGCATCACCCCTCAGGCTGTTGGTGCCATCCCAGTTTGGGAGCAAATATTACTTTTATCCTCCCCCAAAGAAATCACATGAGAAGAAATCTCCAATAAATGTAGAATGAGTGAAAACAAGGAATGAATGACACCCCTCCCCAGCCACCGTTTCCAAACCCCAAAGTTGCATAGAGGTAATGCGTGTCAGGTCTACTCTTAAGTCCACAGCAATTAGACAATGTCTTGACATAAAAGATTATAATCAGCGCAGAGAGGAAAGAGATTTCCCTGTCCAAGCAAACACACTTTCATACCCCTTCCCAGCTAACAGTCCTCCAAAACATATAGCATGCCCTGCTCCTTGGAGGAGCTTCTGTCCTCCCTCCTCCTGCCTCCTCTGTCCTCCCTCCTCCTGCCTCCTCTGTCCTCCCTCCTCCTGCCTCCTCTGTCCTCCCTCCTCCTGCCTCCTCTGTCCTCCCTCCTCCTGCCTCCTCTGTCCTCCCTCCTCCTGCCTCCTCTGTCCTCCCTCCTCCTGCCTCCTCTGTCCTCCCTCCTCCTGCCTCCTCTGTCCTCCCTCCTCCTGCCTCCTCTGTCCTCCCTCCTCCTGCCTCCTCTGTCCTCCCTCCTCCTGCCTCCTCTGTCCTCCCTCCTCCTGCCTCCTCTGTCCTCCCTCCTCCTGCCTCCTCTGTCCTCCCTCCTCCTGCCTCCTCTGTCCTCCCTCCTCCTGCCTCCTCTGTCCTCCCTCCTCCTGCCTCCTCTGTCCTCCCTCCTCCTGCCTCCTCTGTCCTCCCTCCTCCTGCCTCCTCTGTCCTCCCTCCTCCTGCCTCCTCTGTCCTCCCTCCTCCTGCCTCCTCTGTCCTCCCTCCTCCTGCCTCCTCTGTCCTCCCTCCTCCTGCCTCCTCTGTCCTCCCAGAGACTCAAGCAAGAGGTTGGCTAAGAGCCCTAGCGTGCCTTGGCTGCAACAAATCTAACTCCCAGCCTGGGTTTGCCTCATTCTCTGTTAGCTGAGGCCTGGAAAAGGCAAGCACCATAGCTTCAGAAGGCACCCAACACAGAAGAGGAAGCATTGTGGTTTACCTAGAGCCATTCCTTTTTACCTACAGACTAAATGCCATAGGAACAGAAGAAGACGGCCAACCCCAGCAGCTGCCAGGGTGGACTAACACACCCAAGGTGGAGTTGAACAGGTTCCCATAAGCTGAGTCCTCCGGTCAGTCGTCTGAAAGATCAGAGCACCTGGGAATCCGTGCCCCTCATAGCTCTGAGGAAGTATCCGCCAATGCGACCTCATCCAGAGCCCAGAGAAGTCCTGCAGGACAGTCAGCCTTCTCTCTCGCCACTTCTCCCGGCCAGTTCAGATCTAAGGGAAACATGTAAGACGCATTTGTTGTCCTTAAGCTCGGGGAACTCCAGCCCTAGTGAAGGAGAACCCCACAGAAACAGAAAGAGGCAAAGTAGAGATGCCTGACCAACATTCCCACCACATCGGAATCTGCAATGCAGCTGGGAAGTCCTGGAGGAGGGGAGGCCAAGCCCAAGGAGGGAGGGGTATTAGAGGTCAGAAAGAAGATGGAAAGGGAGTGAATTTGCTCAGCTCAGGCTGCCTATAGCTAGGCATGGTTTGGGGAAATTAGTTAAGAACAAGGAATACTGGGGGCTGGAGAGATGGCTCAGAGGTTAAGAGCACTGACTGCTCTTCCAGAGGTCCTGAGTTCAATTCCCAGCAACCACATGGTGGCTCACAACCATCTACAATTCAATCTGGTGCCCTCTTCTGGTATGTAGGCAGAACACTGTATATGTAATAAATAAATAAATCTTTAAAAAAAATGAGGACTTAATTTTAAAAAAAAAAAAAAAAAAAAAAAAAAAAAAAAGAACAAGGAATACTAAGATGATGTAATAGATGGTGGTCCCTGAAATGTCCCACAGAATACTGGTCAAGAACACATACTGCGTATCACTCAGCCCTACAGCCCGATGTGCACTGGGGAGTCCTGCAGACAACACTTATGTGTAAAGTTTATTAGGGAGAGAGGACAGAGAGAGAGAGACAGAGACAGAGACAGAGACAGAGACAGAGAGAGAGAGAGAGAGAGAGAGAGAGAGAGAGAGAGAGAGAGAGAGAGAGAGAGAGAGCTGTCTCCTCAGAAAAAGGCAGAAAGAGGGAGAGGAAGTGAGTGGAGTTTGCCTCTTAAAGGGACCTTCACACCTGCATATAGAGTCAGGGTACTGCCTGCCATGTGTGCCGAGGTGGGCACTCTGCCAGGTTCCCTAAGGGAGGGCAGGGCCAAGATGTGCCTGGATTACAACAACTTATCAATATTTAATCTTCTTAAGCTTGAAATATTCAGTGTTTCAGGTACAGTGTCTTTAATGTATCTGTCAGCCCCATGAGATCAGTTACCCAACTCCCTGGGTAGCACACCCCTCCAGAGGGACTGCACCCTTAATAACCAAGACTAGGATCTGCAGAGCATGCCCTGGGGCTGGATGGATGGTTTGGGTGCTCTCTGAGAGCGGAACTACACTTGCATAATTGATTTGTTGTGAAGCCTTTAAAAACTGAGACATGGGGCCTGGAGAGATGCCTTGGTGACTAAGAGCACAGCTGCTTTTGCAAAGGACACAGATTTGATTCCCAGCCCCACATGGAGGCTCGAAACTTTCTTTAAATCCCGTTCTGGGGGAATATGATATACCTCTCTGGCCTTTATGATGCACAGACACACATGCAGTCAAGACACCCCTACACATAAAATTAAAATAATTTTTTAAGTAGATGCATGGAAAATGGATTTAGC